TAATTGAATATTTTTTACATGAGACAAATAAAATGTAAATATATATATATATATATATATATATATATATATATATATAAAATATTACTACTCTAATACTATGTAAAACAACATTAAAAATACATAAGATAGAATTTTATGATACTGCAACTGAAGATCACAGTTTGGTTACTGTATCATTAACATATGAGACATGGTAGCAAGTAGTGTGGGAAAACTAAATAATATTTAGCAGCCCTATGCAATATCTTTTTATACACTGGAAGTCACCTATAACTAGTGTTAATCTTTTTTTTAATTTTTTTAAAGTTGCTGATTTATTTTAACTTTATGTTAACAATGTAGCATATTACATCTCAAACGTCTACAGACAAGGCAAAGCCAGTAGGGCAAACATTGTAAATAAATGCTTTCTCTAGTCTATGCTGACTACTAGGTGTAAAAGACATGAGCCTCGATTTAATAAGCTTTCCAAATGATTAAATTCTGTTAGAAATAATTCCAAATGATTGATCTACAGAAATCACCATTAAAGTCTATTGGTGTATTTGTCAGTAAATCACTTGTAATCACAGTATTTAAGCATTTTGAAACCTTATTAAATCGAGGACATATCCTGTAACCATGAGTGACAGGGAGCTAAAATAGAGGTGTCCAATTGCAGGTTAAGAGGTGCTGATGTCTAGGTAATATTTTAATTTTCGCATCGCACAAATACATATTTATGAAATCTAGGTGATAAGTAAACTTAATATTGTCCAGAAAGTGACTTTTAAAGGACCCCACTATTACATTTTTACAATTTACTAGATATACCACAAAAAAAATGCATTTTTTTTTCTCCATGTTTTCTTTAGGGGTATATGAAAAAAAATAAACTTGCAAAAGCTTTAAACCTGCTATCTGCAACCTTTGCAAACTATCTCCTCTTTCCAGACAGACTTTCAGTCTGTGCCAGGAAATACAACACGCTTGTTGTACATACAACACAATCATGGCTTTCCTAGGCTTGTCAATGAGATGAGGTATGCTTCATTAAGAAGGGGGAAGGCAGGTACGCAAACAAACACCCCCCTGGCATTCTCAGTGAATAATGAAAGCGCCAATCTCTATTGATATCGGCACTTTTGCAAACCGTCACAAATATGACAGACTCTAGACACAAGCTGAAATGCATTGTGCCTGGAGTGTTCCTTTAAGTATTACATTTTAAAACTGATGCCAAAGAGGCCAAGGAACTAATATCCATTCATGAATGTGCTTCCAGGAAATTCCACTGCAGTCTTTAACATATGAAATGTCCCAGGCATCTCATCCAGGTAATTGTATCCTCCTCTGCTTCACTGCATTCAGATAATTGTTTGACCCCCACAAAGCCTGGGTAAATGTTTGCCTTTATAACGAGAATAGCCAGATCTTCTTGGACTTTCCCTGGAAATAATACAGAATTTGTGGGATTTCAAACACAATTCCTCAGAGGACTGTACAGTTAATGATACCTGGCTGACTTAACCTGCTCTTTGTGATTTGAATTCATGACTATATCTTAGATTTGAAAGGATCCCAGGTTAGAAAGACTTAGAATCAAAACCCAAAAACGATGCGTACAAACGATATATTTTTTTTTTTTCATTCAAAAAGTTTTTATTTTGATTTAAATTCGCGTAACAAGACAGTTTGAAGAAGGATACAGTAGGTATAAGGTACATGGGTATCATAATATAACATGGTAACAGTTAGTTTACAGAGCAGGTAATGATTTAGGCATAAAGAACATGTACGGGGGTATGCCAGTGTTGTGGAGTTTGATAACTCACTGAGTTGATCACATCGTCATGGCAAGTGAAGCTCGGACCATGTGCATATAATGGACAGAGTTTTAGAAACAGTTGCGTGTTTTGAGTCTTTCAACATTTGTAGTAGGGAGAGGGTAGTTTTGCGGTAATTTACAGGGTTATGAGTTCTAGTGGAGGATGCGATTCGGTGTTTATTTTGGGGGTGGATTAGGGATATCTAGCAGGTTGCACTGCTCATATTGCTTAATCTTTACTTAGTATTAGTAAATTTGGCTGAAAGACCAATTTAGGTCTTTCAGCATTTTAGTAGATAGCTCCCTAGTACCGTGGGAATTAGGGAGTTATCTACTAAGCGGCTGCAAGATGCAGCCACAGCACAAATAGGATCGAACTTTCATTCATTCAAATGAAATTGCGATCCGAACAAAGTCCCAAATTGCATCCTAACACGAATGGAGAAACTGTTCTCATTCTGTTAGGATGCAATTCGGCAGTTTTGTCAGCGTTCTGTCTAAGTGACAGGACGTTCGGCAATACTGACAGGAAGCATCGTGGGAACGGGGAGGAAAGCTAAGGATCATGGGAAAATTGCTCTTACCAGAGGAAATGAAGCACAATGTGCTCCTCCGCTGTTCAAAGCTGGTCAAGCGGAGGAAACCTCCATAAGGCAAAGAGTCCCTACTTTGTCTTATGATTTTAAAGAAAACTAAAGAAGACAGGAAGAAAAGAAGACCAGGTCCTGAGAAAGGGGGAGAAGAGGAAGAGATTGAGGAAAGGAAATTCGGCATGACAGTGCCGCTTTAAGCACTTTTTGTGAATAGATCATGCCTCTAAAGTTTCATTGTTCAGTTTACTGCAACTTAGGCATTAAATCAATTTTGTTTTTGCCCATACAGTCCTATCCACACCTCCCCTGGCTGTGACTGACACAGCCTGCATGAAAACTAAATGGTTTCATTTTAAATCAGATGTAACTTCCTTTAACCCTTTGAGGACCGATGACGGTTCAGTACTGTCATCGGAAACAACCCCTTGAGGACCGGTGACGGTCCTGAACCGTCATAACGGTATTGGGGTATTTACCTGATCGCCATCGTTCCCCCGGTGGCGGAAAGGTGGTTTCACCCGGTCTGGGGGGACTGCCTCTCTGCCCAGACAGTCTCCCACGTAGCAGATTAGGACCCGGCGGCCACGTGATCGTTTGATCACATGGCCGCAATAGGTGCCTGTGCTGACAGGCAGTCTCCCTGCTGCTGTAAAATGAAAAATTAAAGTTAAAAAAAGCAATCAGTATAAAAGAAAAACAAGTATATGTACTGTATATATATATATATATATATATATATATAAGATATACATACATGTATTATATCTATATATAATATGTATATATATATCTTATATACATAATGTCAAACTAAGTGTATATTTATATATACATATATAAATATAAAAATACACCTATAATTAAATTACACACGTATATATAATAACTATATATATTGTGTATATATATATTATTATTATTATAAAATATAAATAATAAGTAAATTCAAATAAATTTTAAAAAGTAAAAATTATTTTTTATTTTTAAAAAAATGATATATATATATATATATATATGTAATTTTATCAAAATCAAAACACACTTAGAATGAAATGATTTATATATATCTATGTATATAAATAAATTAAAATAATACGAAATATACACATGTCCATATACATAATTACATAAATAATTTCATAAATATACACGTAGACTTCAAATATATAAATATGTGTATATATATTTAAATTCTACGTGCATATTTATGTAATATTTTTACATAATTAAGTAATTTTATTGATTGCAATTTGAGGGACCTGCCTGACAACCCAGGCCGAAAGTCACGACAATTTAATTTGCCAGCACTGTGTTTAATCCTGTAACTTTCTATGACACCCTAAAACCTGTACATGGGGGTTACTGTTTTACTCGGGAGACTTCATTGAACACAAATATTAGTGTTTCAAAACAGTAAAACATATCACAGCGATGATATTGTCAGTGAAAGTGAAGTTTATTTGCATTTTTCACACACAAACAACACTTTCACTGATGATATTATTGCGGTGATATGTTTTACTGTTCTGAAACACTAATATTTGTATTCAGCGAAGTCTCCTGAGTATAACAGTACCCCACATGTAGAGGTTTTATAGTGTTTTTGAAAGTTAGAGGGTCAAATATAAGGCTTGATTTACTATTTTTTTATTGAAATTTGTCAGATTGGTTATGTTGCCTTTCAAAGCGTATGGTAGTCCAGGAATGAGAATTACCCCTATGATGGCATAACATTTGCAAAAGAAGGCAACCCAATGTATTGCAAATGGGGTATGTTCAGCCATTTTTAGTAGCAACTTAGTCACAAACACTGGCAAAAGTTAGCATTTTTTGCATTTTTAACACACAAACAAATAACACACAAACAAATATAAATGTTAACTTTGGCCAGCAAGAAAGCAAAAAAGCAGGTAAACACTGGGTGTTTTTAAACTCAGGACAAAATTTTGAATCTATTTAGCAGTTTTTTATTAGCTTTTGTAGATAAGTAAAAGATTTTTCAAGTAAAAGGCCAAAAACATGTTTGTTTTTTTTCAATTTTCACCATTATTTATTATTTTTTTTAAAGTTAAATATATGACATGATACAAATAATGGTATGTAAAGAAAGCCCTTCTTGTCCTGAAAAAAAACCAATATATAATTTGTATGGGAACTGGAAATGAGAGAGCGGAAAATTACAGCTAAACACAAATACCACAAAAGTGTTAAAACCGCTCTGGTCCTTAATGTACAACATGGCCAAAACAGGACGGTCTTTAAGGGGTTAAATGTGTTTTTATGCTCTGCTCTGTAAATGTAACTTTAATTACATACAGGAAGATCCTGCAGGGTTTGCTGTCTTTAAACCTGTAAAATGTTTTTTTTTTGCATTTTCTGTCCCTCTGTAATCATTACTGAATTTAGATGATTGTTTGACCTCCCAAAGCCTGGGTAAGTGTTTTCTTTTATAATTGTTACTCTCTTGGGAGGTGATGCAGATTGTTGTGGTTTTATCTAAAAACAGATATTCCCCCTGGGAGATCATAGATATTCTGATTCCTGGGTATCTGAGCCTGCTTTGTGTTATGAATTCACAAAAATAGCTAACATTTGATATGGATCCTCACCCAGAGGCATCGTTGTCTGGACTGTACAAAAAGGACTGGTTCTATGCTCGATGTGTTTCTCACTTAATGAGTGCTCCACCTTCTGTATCCAAGCAGTTCTTAAAAGAGCAAAGGGATCTGACACAGGTGTGTTTGCATGATATTATATTCAGAGTTTGAAGATAACAATTCCACAGCATATAAGTTATGCACAGGCTTCATAGGAGGAAAATGTTTTAGTAAAGAGCTGTGTGACACAGGCCTGGTCTGGCAATTAGGCAAAAGCTGGATGTGCTGCAATGGCCACTGGCTGAAGCCAACTGGGGAGATCAAAATATGCAGGGATGATGCTACTCAGTATCAACCCAAAGAGGAAGCTTCATGGCCAGTGAGGAGATCAAAGATATCCCATACAGGCCAACACACTCTAATACTGGGGAATCCAGGAATGTGATCTCCACTTTCGGTGGCTACAGACCAAATGTATTGTTTCTGTGAGCTCCAGAATCTCTGAATGTAACAGAGCTTTGCCCAAGGTTACTACTGCAACACTCTGATGCTTTCAGCATAGCAGGGCTGGAAGGTACACTTCAGCTGCATCTGCCAGAGCCGCAGGCCACGAACTCTAACTACCAGACCACCAGGGATCATAATTCTCTCCTCCATTCTACAAGGTTAGCAAGATGGAAGGGGGGATACACTTTTTTTTGTAAGAACATGATTTTTTGTAATGCTTCCATCATTTACACATACTCTACAGCCTGTATCCTCTAACATAATACAGCCTCTATGAAACCACCTACACTACAGCCACATACTCTTCTCTCCACATACTATAGCCTTATCCACCCCAAACACAATCCTACAAGTAGCCTTCAAGCAAATTTTGTTTGCAGTTTTTTTAACCATCTGGCTTGGCTCTTGTCATAGAATTACAGTTGTGCTCAAAGGTTTGCATACCCTGGCAGAAATTGTGAAATTGTGGCATTGAGTTTGAAAATATGACTGATCATGCAAAAAAAATATTTTATTGAAGGATAGTGTTCATATGAAGCCATTTATTATGACACAGTTGTTTGGCTCTTTTTTAAATCATAATGGTAACAGAAATCTTCCAAATGGCCCTGATCAAAAGTTTACATTCCCTTGTACGTTTGACTTTGTTACAGACACACAAAGTGACACACATAGGTTAAAATGACAACTAAAGGTTAATTTCCCAGACTTGTGGCTTTTTGAATTGTAATTAGTGTCTGTGTATAAATACTCAAGTTGGTTAGCTCTCATGTGGATGCACTGAGCAGGCTAGATACTGAGCCATGGAGAGCAAAAAAGAACTGTCAAAAGAACTGCGTAGCTGCTAAGTTAATGGAAAAGGATATAAAAAGATATCCAAAGCCTTAAAATCCGCTATACCACCTGCAAGAATTAGAGGCCTCATAGACAACTCTTACAAAAGACGGGACACTGTCATTGATGCTAAAGGGGGCAGTACACAGTATTAAGAACTAAGGGTATGCAGACTTTTGAACAGTGGTCATTTTATTTGTTTCTTTGTTGCCATGTTTTGTTTTATGGTTGTGCCATTCTGTTATAACCTACAGTTGAATATGAATCCCATAAGAAATAAAAGAAATGTGTATTGCCTGCTCACTCATGTTTTCTTTAAAAATGGTAAATATATTACCAATTCTCCAAGGGTATGCAAACTTTTGAGCACAACTGCAAGTGTTTCTTCTCTTAAAACAATTAAAAGCTCATATTTTAATGTATTGCCACTACCTCTGTCTCCTGCTATGAAAATCAATCATGTTTTCAGTGGGTGTTATACTTGCTTTAAGACACACCTCTCCTGCATGCTGCTGTTTGTGAAGCACAGACTTGCATATCCATAGTAGATTAAAAGTCTTGAACACTTTATGATGGCTTCATATATGTAAATAAAACATATCTGTTATCTCTCTCTCTCTCTCGCTCTCTCTATATATATATATATTCTCAGATTGCCTGTCCATAGTTCCTGTAATAAATCATTCTGGCTCTTTCTTTCTTTGTGGTGCTGCTGCTGCTCTCATTCAGTGCTTGTCTCTCCTCCCGTCTTCACCTTGCAGACTTTCCTTTACCTTAGTGTGAAGGCAAATAAGAGAGACACCAAGTAAATGATTTCCCTGATAAATGACATGCAGAGAACATCCTTCATATCTTTGTGCACAGACTGAATTGACTGACAGAAGGGAGAAAAGACTGTTTTTTCATCTCCGATTTTAGAAAAATCTAGACATTTGCTAGCAGTTATGCTAGGATAATGACTAGAAGAAATGTGATTCTCTATCACTGAAGATGTTGTATTTGTCATGACAGCTACCCTTTAAATAAGAGGAACTTGGTGCATGGCAATTTACATATTTGAATATTGATGTGTTTTGTGTAGCCATATTGTGTAGTCTGATCTTCTCTCCTTCTGCAGTTATCTCTTCAATAGTGATGTCCCGAACTGTTCGCCGAACGGTTCGCGAACGGTTCGCTGCGGACTCATCATTGAGTAAACTTTGACCCTGTACCTCACAGTTAGCAGACACATTCCAACCAATCAGCAGCAGACCCTCCCTCCCACCTCCTGGACAGCTCACTAAGAATGCAGCTTCAAAATGGATGCTGTCCAGGAGGCGGGAGGGTCTGGGAGGGAGGGTCTGCTGCTGATTGGCTGAAATGTGTCTGCTGACTGTGAGATACAGGGTCAAAGTTTACTCAATGATGAGTCCGCGGCGAACCGTTCGGCGAACAGTTCGGGACATCACTACTCTTCAATTCACTAATTTTTCTCACTCTCTTATGATGTAGTAATTATACTTGTGTATTATCTGTACCTATTGGTAAAGCAAAAAAAACACAGTGCAAGAAAACGGTCAAATGCTCAAATAGCCTGCCCTTAGGTCGGTCCCCATTCAGATCTTTGTGCCATTACAAAGAGAACCTAGGTCATTTTCATATCAAACTGATTCCATCCAAAAGGTCGGTCCAGAACTGAAACGCACTTTGGAGCTGGACTGCCCTCTTGGGTAAGATTAGTCTGATATGTCACAGAAGGGTAAGCTTATTGAGCTATTGTCCATTCTCAGCACTGTTGCACCCTGCTTTTTGCTCTCCCCACGTTTAAAGGGTAATCAAGACATGGAATCCTTTGCTCACGATGCTTAGAGAGGTATCAGCTATACCTCACTGATGAGACCTAACAAGGCCAAAACGATTGTTTGGGGTTGCTTGTGCAGAGAGACACGGCCTGCATTTCGGTTCTGGACCCCCCGTTTTGGTGAAATCTGTCTGATGTGCAAACAGCCTTGGCTCTTTTTGTAAATGCAGAAGATGCGCTAAAACCAGTTTGAGATCTGCACGGGGACCCACCGGAGGGCAAGCTACTTAAGCTGTTGTCGGTTCTCAGTATTCTCTGAAATCCTGTTTTTTGTTATCTGTACCTCTGTACCTGTTTCTTTAAAACAGGTGGTGTGTATTATAAGTACTACATCCAGATGCAGTGGTTATGGTGTCAATAGTGCACTGGTGACATCCCACAGTAGCATATCCCACCATGGTATCAAATTTGTTCAGATATGCTTTAGATGTGATACAAGGAGGATCTCTCAAACCAGCTTGCTGTTCAAATTTACTTTAGTTCAATAAAATTTCAATTTTCTTTCAGTTCAAGATTTTGCAAGAGTCCTATTACTTTGCATATTTCAATATATTTCAATGTGAATATGTTTGTGTATATTAATTTTCCTGACTGGCATATTTATATTGTAGTCACTTAAGAAGTTAGATAGACATCTACAAAGCCGATTAGATGAACTAAATGAAGAAAAGAAACGATTTGCCCAGCTGATGAGCAAGAGGTTAGGCTCCAATAGCGTTACAAATCTGGCTCCTACCAAGAGTGGTTTCAAAACACTATGCACTCAGTCTACTGCAACCTTTAACGACAGCTCTGCTGACGAGTTAAAAACTTCTGATGACTCTAATTTGAATACTTTAAAACATATAAAGGTAAGTCATTTTCAAAGAGCATCACATTCACGTAAAGAAAATACAGCAGGTTAATACTCAGAAAGAATTGCCGGGCATCCCATTCCTTACTAGATGGCTAACATCTTCATGCCACTATGTGGATTATACAAAGTGCAATTCATATCCTGTAGGAAAGCAATCAGATAGTTAATCACAGCAAGGATACTGCAGGAACAGGTTTAATTAATCAATTGCTATCGGTGTATTTTACCATATATATATTTGCATTTTCACTTTGGCAAATAACCCTGTTAGTGTCAGGTGCCCTTCCATTGAAGATGAATTGTAACTCAGATTATTCTAAGACAGTTTTTTTGCCCCATGCTCTAAAGACTCAGAATTACATCAATGTATCACCAAATCTTAAAGGATGCACATCACTATAAACAATGGTAGATCCAATGGTCTAGCCATTAAATAGATACTATCAGTGCCAGGAGTATAAAGCTGTATTCGTGGCACAATAGATCCCTCTGCCTCCCCCCTTTCCCTACCCTAGTGCCGATGTCCCTCTGCACTGGGTCTCGGCTCCGCCTCCTCCTCTGTCCTGTGATGAGCGGACGCTAATGCACATGTGTGGCAAATGCCACGCCCGCATTAGGCCTCCCCATAGGAAAGCATTGAATCAATGCTTTCGTATTGGGAAAAACCTGAAGCTGGATGTCCTCATGCAGAGCTCGAGGACATCCAGCGTCAGCTACCGGGCCAAAGGTTCGTTTGGATGCAGGAAGCACCTCTGGAACTGCAATGTTTAACATTGCAGTACTAAGTGCAAAAAGGACACTGCACCCAGACGACTTCAATTAAGACAAAACTATAATGATGCATGCTGTTAAAATCAACATTTGTAACATGAATCTTCAGTGAAATTAGCTATTTCACATACTGATCTTAAATAGGGAGGTTCCTACACCCTTAGGGTATAGTAAGACCCAACACTCTAGTAATAAGTTAGAAATAGCAAAACTAGAAAAATGAATATAGAGAATGCTACTGATCCTAAGAATAGTTGGGATTAAAGGGACACTCCACTGCCCCAATAAAAACGTCAGAACTTCTTATAACTACCTTAAGTATTTTGTCAACTGCATTGTGTGCAGTATTAGTGTTGTGGAGTTGTTATGTAGAGTTGGCTGTATTGAAGGTGTGCATTTGATAACGTGAGTTTCTGAGAATGCAGGCATGTATTAAGTGGAGTGTTAGTGTTCTGGAGGTGCAGAGTGAATGTTTGCATGTGAGTGTGGGAATGAAATTGTGTGGAGGGTGTGTAAATTAAGTTTCATTGAACAAATTCTACAGTAAGCATGTGTGTGCGTGTGTGTGTGTCAGAGATGTATTTTAGTATTGCTGGTGTAAATCCTTCTCACGTTTCGGACCTCTCAGTCTTCCTATCCCACATTTCTGTATCTAGCCATCTCCTCATGTGTCTTTCCCCTATTACTCTCCACCTGTGTCTCTCCCGACATCTCTCTCCCATTTCTCCCAAGTGTCTAACCATATCTATCTTTACATGTCTTCCCACCTGTCTTTCCCATTTCTTCTCACATATGTCTCTCCCCACATAACTATCCACATGTTTCTTCCCACGTGTGTCTCCCCACACTTCTCCCTACATCTGTCTCTCCTCACATCTCTCTCCATCTAGGCCTCCAGAAACCTGTCTCGCTTTCTCCTTACATGTCTCTCCCCACATTTCCGTCCACCTGTGTCTCTCCCCACATTGTCTCTCCACATGTCTCTCCCCTATCTTTCTCCAGCTGTCACTCCCCATCTCTCTCCAAATGTCTCTCCCAATTTTTCTCCACCTTTCAAAACGGCTTCACAGGGAAGCATAGAAACTGCAGTATCACAATGCTTTCATTAGATGGCGGAATACGTTCACATTTTCTGAAATAAATACTATGACAAGCGGGACCAGGTTTAAGCCTGACTGAGGCTGGGCACAAGAATAAGCTTTCAAAGTATCCATTTAATGCAATAGAACAGTGGTTCCCAACCTTTTTTCACTTTAGTACCCATTGGCAGCCCATTTACATAAATTGTACCCCTCATATTAGCAAAATGTTTGTTATTAATATAGTTGCTATTATTTCAAATATATATATCTTTCTCTGCCCCAGACTCTCCCTGCTCCTCTTCTACCCCAGACTCTCCCTGCTTCTCCTCTGCCCCAGGCTCCCCAGCTTCTCTTCTGCCCCAGACTCTCCCTGCTTCTCCTCTGCCCCAGGCTACCATGATCCACCTATGCCATGGGCTGTCCCTCCTTCTCACTTTGCAGATAGACACTTTGGCGCACATGCACACACATAACCTGGCGCACATGCAGATACATAGATACAAACACTGAGACATACACAGACACACAGATACAAACACTGACATACATGCAGATACAGACACGTAAAATCACACAAAGACACAGATCCTTCTTATATATTGGTTGGATGTAACTAAAATGTATACTCATCATCAAGAACCCCACACAATAAATGATCAATAAAGGATCAGCATGTGGCAACTGTAAAGTTTTAACACACTTCGCTAGAAAACCCCCCAAAACAAAACGCAAACACAAGTGGTATAAGTAAGTGAATGGGGCAAAATAGAAAATGAAAATAGTATGCATGTTCAAAAACATGAGCAGAATGAGGTAGCTCTCTCACTTCACGGTGGAGTGGAGAGACAACTGCTGAAAGAGAGTTTTAGATTATGTAAGTACATGATCTCAATGTCAGGTTTCTAAGGTTATACAAATTATGGTAGGTCCTGAAACTTTTGAAAAACCCCCATGGGAGTGTAGGAAATCTGATTCTGCCTAAACCACTACCAAATGTAAGATCTAGAAAACATACAATACCTCTCTTATCCTATCCTCTCTACTTTGATGCATAATTTTATATTTATTTATATTTATTTTTTCTGTGTCCCTTTAGGTAACATATCCATCCATAATTCCCAAAGATCAGCCAAAAAACAAATGTCAGACCATCAAACACTTGACCAAGCGTGGGCGAACTTCTTCTGCTCGATTGTCTGAAGGCATCAGCAAAACAATATCCCAGGCTGCTTATAAACAAAAGTGAAGAATGAAGATGCCTTGCTGAAGAAAACACATTCCTAGTTACTGATTTGTATCTATTTATTTTTTTTTAAATTTTTTTTAAAAAAGTTGTATTTTTTTCACAATAAAATTCAAACCTGAATGAAAAGGCAGAATTGTTTTCCCAATGAAAAGTTAATTGAAGTTGCAGAACAAGCAGATGTGAGCATGTTGTGGGTATTATTATGATTATGAATAGTGATTTTTACCTAGAACAAGGGTTAAAAAGTTATTTAAACATTATAGCTTTTCTACAACAAAAGACACCTGAACAGTTTACATAAAGAGAAAATGGAAATAATGCTGTTAAAGGGACACTCCAGGCACCAACACAACGTAATTTAAATAAAGTTGTTATGGTGCAAGGAGGACTCTGGAGGCATCCCTATCTTAATGAGTTAAACTGTTCTTGAACAGTTTAACAGCATAGATGCCTCCAGCGGCGATGTCCACTCCCCGCAGGCGAGATTCAGCTTCTAAATTTTCAAATTCAGGAAGTGCGGAGTGCTGCTGGGGGGGTGCTGCTGATTGACTGAGACTGGCCAGTTGGAAAGAAACACACCTTTTTCAATCCAATTCTGTGAATGGGAGTCACTGATTGGCTGAGAGCATCAGCTGACTGTTCTCAGCCAATCAAAACTCCCCAGCACAATGGCACTCCGTCCTTCCTGAAAGAGAAAATTCAGAAGCCAGATGCTGCCTGGGGGGGAGAGTGTGTGTGTGTGTGTGTGGGGGGGGGGGGTGTTCACAGTTCTGCCCGTAAGCGAAAAACCTTCTACAAACAGCTGGACATAATCTCACTTGATACATATAGAAACTATCTTTATCTAGAGCAGCCTTTTCAAACATTCAATTCGCCTAACACTCACCTCTAGTTATTTACATTTCATTAAAGCAGAACGATTACTATTGACAATTTTTACAGCCCAATAGTTAACTAAATGCAATCTATGGGTTGTGCTTTTATTTTCCCTAAACTATACTTTACTATTTCTTGTTATGGGAACCATCACCTTTCTGGAACTCACATTATTGAATAAAACATCAAAAATCACCTTTAGCTTGTGTTAACCTTTTTCACGTGATGCTCAATTTTCTTTGAAATTTATAATAAAGAGTTTGTGAATTAAATGAAAATTCAGTTCAGTCCAGTCTGTATGCGTTACCTAATATGCTAACTACTAGATGAACAGGACAGAGCTTGTAACAATAACTGGCAAGAAGCCGAGATGATGGTCCTTAGGTAGAGAACAAAAAGGTCCTGATCTCTACATTTAGGTTTTTGTTTTTTCCCAACACCGCACCAATACATGTAAGTTAAATAAAGTAAATAAATCACCATCACAGTATTGAAAATTCCAAGAAGCCACAGTTCCTCTTTAGCCTCTTAAGTTTCAGAAGATGTTACTAGCTATCCTAAAATTAGTGGCTTTAATTCCATGTGCCAGGTTAATTCAGATATTAATCCACTCCTGCAACTCATCTCGGTCAGCAGGTGCCATAGTTAGTGGCCACATTGATCAGAGATTATCAATCAGATGTGACAAGAGCTCAAAGAGATATGCCACATTAAAAATGTTTGGTTGAATTTTCTTGTTTGGTTATGCCCTGAGATGTCATTGATGTGGTCGCTGTAAATATAATAGGGGGGTTTGCAGAGTCTAAACAGGCACAAATGTGAGCTATGAGGAGCATAGCTATAAGGAGCATAGCCATTACCTCTGGAATTTGTTGATTTTTTTTTCTCCACAAATACGCCAAAATCATACTTTGAAAATGAAGAAGCACCTTATTTAGAATTAGAATCGATTGAATGGAAGGATGAATATACATCTGCTACTCTAGATGTCACTTCACAATATACACTATTTGACCACGATTTAGGCCAGGAGGCAGTTGGGTATAATCTAGAAACAGATAAGTAAATTGATCCTGCTTTTTTTTTTTGAAATTTTTTTTTTTTCTTCAGTGCATAAAATATATACAGGCATGCCCGGGTTGCCCCAAAGGCAGTCCCCAAGCTTTCCTCGCTTAACATGCAGGACAAATGAACAGTATGCACAATTTTATATTATGAACAGGCTTAACTGTAGTCATGTAAAATGACATTCTTATAAGACAGTGACATGGAAGCTTTGCATAATAGTATTTAAAAAACAGGCTTGAACATCCATTGTGTCACAAGGAGAAGAGATTAAGTTACAAACATGCGCGTGTGTAGGTTTGAGTAGGTAAGTGTGTAACATGGCTATATGGTTCTTAAGTTACAGGCTATGCAAGTTAATGACAGGTTTAGATTTCTCTACACTGCTTGGATTAAATTTAACCACCAGGGGGCAGCGAACCTCTGAGTTTGCTGGATAAACTGACAAGTAGGCTTATTTATTTTTAACAGAGTTACATGTGGGTCTGCTGAATAGGGTCAGCTGCAATAACTTTAGACGTAACAGTATAAATAAAAACTAAAATAGAAGACACAAAGCGCTCTGCTGAACTTTGATTATGCTTATACAGGGTTAGCAATCACTTAGTTACTCCTGCAGCTGTACGGGGTTGGATGGTCCTGGCTGTACTCAAGTCCCTGGTGTCCCCCGCTGGTTGCTTGAGTGCCCAGGCACTTGTTGGCCAGGAGTACGTTTGGTCTCATGTGTCTGCTAGCTTCTGCCTCAGGTATGAAAAAGAGGTTTGTTTCCTTTGCACTTCTGTGCAATAATCCCAAGGGAGTCCCCGCAGATCTGCCGGAAACCATATGAGATGTTGCCTCAGATAATGCATGAGCTGTGCTTACATGCAGAATGTGCCTTCCTTGGAGTCGTCCGGTGGGTGAAAAGAGTGTGTCGTTGTCTGCGGGCCACTATCAGTGCTTGGTGTTCTGGTCCGCATCTGTTTCCAAACAGTGCCCAGCAGTTGCTCTATTGCTGCCACCTCCCTTCTCCAGCTAGTGAGGGACGCGGCGGCCATCTTGGGTTTCGCCATGCGGTCCCTATTCTATCGGTTCGCCGCCCAAGCATCATGAGTGGTCACTGCTTCCCCGGTGGGGCCTGGGATAACCCCCCCGGCCCACAGGGGGGGAGAACGGGGCCCTCAGTAGGCATGCGAGAGGTCCCGCCGGACTAAGCACGGGAGACCGGCCGCGTCTCCCGCCAGAGCCTCGCGACGGGCCGCAATCCCAGCTGCCCAGTAATCAGCATCGCCGGCAGGATGGGGGTCGGTATGTGCACCAGGAGTTGTGCTCAGGTCCCCTGTGTCGTCTATTAGCAGCTGTGTGGCTTTTCCAGGGGAGGAAGAGTAATTTGAAGCTGGATGTTTAGGTTTCATGGAGGAGCCGAGCTGCTCCACGTCCGTCTAGCTTGGCGGTCAGGCCCCGCCCCAATTGATCCTGCTTTTGAAGAATGTTTGATCAAATCTATTAAATTTATTTTTATTCACATTTTTTTAAATATTTGATAAAGAGTTTTTTTCTACAAATCAAAGGAATTGCCATGGGCACCAAGTTCACACCTGGTTGCAAGACCACCTTTATGGATTGTTGGGAGAAATTAAGCATTTGGAATAACAATCCCTTTGGGGCTAACTTGGGTGCTCTGGAGGCGGTACGTAGATGATATTTAACAATCTGGAAGGGAACTTTGGAAACCTTGAAAAATTTTATATAATATATTAATCAGAATTAATTATCTTGAAAATTCTCAAATTGATAAAATTAAAAAAAAAAATTAAATCTTACAATATATTTAGAAAACTCTGAAATCACAACCCTTAATTTTTTTTAAAACCCACCGAGACTAATAGCTTTATTGACATTAGGCATCATCATCCAAAATGGCTATCTAGCGTACCTAAAAGTCAGTTCATCAGACTATGTAGGAATTGTTCAAAGAGAGAACAATATTTTAAACATCAAATATTTTAAAAGATACATTTTTACAAAATGGGTTATGAAAATCAATTTTTAAATTCATAAATTAAAAGAGGTGACCTATTAATTGCTAATCAAAAAGAACAAAATACAATAAATATGGGTTTGCTTTTAACATAAATGTTACGGTTACACTTACTTGGATTCCCTCGCCGCTTCTCCGTCAGTGGCTGAGGTGGTTCCCCCTCAGTACACGCCAAGGTCAGCCACAGGAACAAACAGCCAACATAGATGCGGACACCGGCATACTCAGCCGCATACAAACAGCCAACATCAATGCGGACACCGGCATACTCAGCCGCATACAAACATCGATGCAGTACCGCTGCTCTCCACACCGCGGCCCATGGGAGGCTTCAGCCAAACCCACGTGTGTACTTCACAGACTCTAGGCGTGCATGAGCCTGACAGCTGGCTTCTTAAAGGGACAGAACACCTGAAAATATGTAAAGAGACTAATTACTTTCTAGGCAATAGCATGTGAGAGGTGGATACCTCTCCCCTATATAATTTCAGCCTACCCTCACCTCAGTACTCAGTTATACTGTGCTCTTCAGTGTGTACACTTCTGTAAATCCTGTTATCATCTGACCCTTGACATATCTGTCTGTTATACCATTCCTGAACCTGCACTGTCTTCCCCTGACCTTAGCTTTCCCTGACTATGAGATTGTCTCATCCTTATTCGGTACCTCGCATTTGGCTTACTATTGCCTCCTGGGCACCACCTGTCAAAAAATCCCAACAATAAAATACAATTCTAAAGTCTTTGTGGTGAAATGTATTGTCAAAAAATATTGGCCATTGCGGTTAGAAGAAGAATATTTGAAACAAGAATTACCTGTTGTACCGGAAGTTATTTTTAACAAAGGGAAGAATTTTTAAAATTTTATAGCTCCCAGTACTTTTAGGAGAAAAAGATGTCCAAGTAAAAGGACAAATAAGTGGCTTTTTTACTTGTGGCCATTGTAAATGGTGAACACATCCTCTGAGGAAAACAGAAGAATTTAAAAGTAATCAAACTGGATAAACATTTAAAATGTAAAGCTTTTCATCTTGTGACTCCACACATGATGTTTATCTACTGACCTGTAGTTTTGGGCTGCTATATGTGGGGAGGACTGGTAGAAAGACAAAGCTTAGATACATGGAACACCTTAATAATATTAGAAGAAAAATGCTTTAGACTTCATGCCAGAATGTTGTAATAAATGTCCTCTTTTTGATTTCAATACATTTTTTATTGTTATAGAAAAAAAAATACATGTTGTTGATAGAGGAGGAAATCTTAATATGACATTGAGAAAGAAAGAGGTTTTCTGAGATCCATAGGCTCCAGACCTTGCAGCCCAGGGGTTTGAGTGTGGATTTTGATAACATCTGTTTTCTTTAACCTATTTTTTCCCCATATATTTTATTATTTTCATTATTTAACTTGACTACATATACTCATTTCTACTTTACTTTACATATCCATTTTCATTATTATTTTTTTCATTTTCACCATTATTGATTTAAACACAAGTTATTTTTATTTATCCTTACTTATTTTTAATTTCTATATTAAATTTTTGCATTATATTTTCATTTTTTTATTATTTTTTTTATCAGTAAAATTGTATCATCACTTATTAAAACAAGCAAAGAAAAAAGTTACCTCTGCAGTAGCCCAAATCCCTATGCATATTTAAATAAATGGAGGTGGGCTTACATCTGATAATGGCCTCTGGAGTTACTAAATTACCTCCATTTAACTCTTTTTTCTTTGCTTGTTTTTTTATGTATTGGGGTTGATGTGTGCTGTGGTCGTTGCTGGCGCACAGGAGTAATGGGAGTTTTAGCGCAGGACTTATTTTTGTGTCTTTGTATTCACTTTTGTATTACACAGCCATGTTACAATGCTGCCGCCCATTCCATGTGTTCCCTGTTAAGGGTTAATCAGTATATAGGGTTTCAGAAAAATACCCCTCTCTGTCTCATTAGAGATGTCTTTGCCTGAAGCTCAAGGAAATAAGGTGCATTGTTAGTGCAGGACCCACCTAAAAGGTTTGCCATGACGTGGCAGGTGGGCTTACATCTAATGGCCATTGGAATTACTAAATAACCTCCATTTATTTAAATATGCACAGGGATTTGGGCTAGTGCGCAGGAAACCTTTCTTTCTTTGCTTGTTTTTATGTATTGGGGCTGATGTGTGCTATGTAGTGAGTAGTGGGAGTTTGAGCGAAGGACTTATTTATAAAATATTTTACCAGGGTGGATACATTGAGATTTCTCTCGTTTTCAAGTATGTCCTGGGTCCACTAAACATTGCATTGTTACAATAGGATACAATATTACAAAATATATATATATATATATATATATATATATATATATATATAGCCATAGAGCTCTTAAAAGATAAAAGATTTTAGATTGGGATGGGCGGAGCTTAGCCACTGACTAAGCAAGTTGCACACTCGATGGGCACCGGGCCAAACGCCAAACGAGCATATTTTGGGGGAAATCCTCGGCAGAAACCTTGCCCAAGTACTCACCTTACACCATGGGCCGTAAAACCAAGAAACAGAGACTGAACAAGCCCCGCACAGGCATGCACATTGGGGATCTTCTTCGGTAGGCGCAAGGAGCGTGCGGGCCCAAAATGGCCGACGACCTAACAGACTGCACCGACTCCACCAAAGTAGACTCCGTATGCAGGCAAGAATGAACCGGTGACTGCGGCGCTGCTTTTTGGGCGGCCTGCAGCAGGTCTTGCAGGCAGACACAGCACTGCTGCGCAAGGACCTCTCAGGCCTGATGGGCCGTCTAGGGGAAGTGGAGAAGACCGTTACACACCACACGATCGCCATAACAGACCTCCAGAAAGAAATAGCCGCCTTAAAGGCACAACAAGCAACAACAGAACAGAGATTTGCCACACTTGAAGACTTGAGGCGCCAAAACAACCTCAAGGTTAGAGGGGTACCCGAGGAAATCTCAGTAGCGGAGCTCCCGCATACATTAGGAGACTATTGGGAGTCCTGCTGGCCCCAAGACAAGCAAAAGGGGTGATCCCAGATGGGATATTTAGAGTACAGAAACCCATAAAAGCACCTGACACAGCCCCGCGAGACACCGTAGTGAAATTCTGCAACTTTGCGAACAAGCAAGCAGTGCCCACAGCCCTCAAAGGGAAGGTGCCCTACACATATGAGAACGCATCCCTCTCGTTCTACGCAGACCTATCTGGCGACACCCTACAGTGGAGAAGGCAAATGTAACCGGTAACCGACAGCACAATTTACAGTACAGATGGAGATCCCCAAGATCGCTGCAAGTCCTTCAGGGAGAAGAAACACACCACATGACTGACCTTCAGGGAGTGAACACCCTCCTGAACCAACTGGTGCTAGCAGACAACTCCTCGCCTCAACTGGGCGCCAGCGGAACGGGCCCAGCTACACATAAATGTAACCAGGCGACAAGCAAAATGTTAGTACCACTGAAAGGCAAGCAACCCTACTGTAGCCAAGCACGACCGGGGGTGCCCCAAGACTCACCCCACGGACAGTTGTTACCGACTCCCCCTCTCACCAGCACTACAGCCCAGCATGACAACTGATGCTATTACATACAGACGTCACAAAGGCACTCACCACCTCACCCAAACGGTAGCTTACCCTGAGACCCACTCGGTCACTCAGTAACCCTTCCGACAGATACTCGCCGTAAGGTCGGATGCTAGACCCTATCAGGGAAAACACACCCAACATACCTATCAAAAACCTCTACTCATGGGCCACCTACACAGGCCATTACATAAGCTTTCCCGAGTTTATATTAACGTATTTCATGTTCTACAATGTAATGTTACCTCATGTTCATGCAATAGCTCTCTCATGCTTGTGAGCGGAGCAAAAATAAAGAATTTAAAATTAAAAGATTTTAGATTGAATGAAGATTTGACTGTGTCCCTGAGGTTATTCCATAAATGTGGTGCTCTGTAGGAAAATGAGGATCAAGCCACTTTATTTTTGTATTGCGGTATGCTATATATCGTGCTATTACTGGATCGGAGGTTATAGGATGTTCGAACAGCTGGGGAGAGCTTCCCAGAAATGCTCTTATGCACAAGGCTGGAAAGATGAAGAGTGCGTTGGGATTCCAGCGATAGCCAGTTTAGCTCTTTTAACTTGTCACAGTGGTGGGTAAAGTAATTACATTCTAGTACAAAGCGGCACAACAAATTAAATAACATGTTAAAGGACCACTATAGTGCCAGGAAAACATACTCGTTTTCCTGGCACTATAGTGCCCTGAGGGTGCCCCCACCCTCAGGGTCCCCCTCCCGCCCGGCTCTGGAAGGGGGAAAGGGGTTTAAACTTACCTTTTTCCAGCGCTGGGCGAAGAGCTCTCCTCCTTCTCTCCTCCTCCGTTCCACCCCGTCGGCTGAATGCGCACACGCGGCAAGAGCTGCGCGCGCATTCAGCCGGTCGCATAGGAAAGCATTCATAATGCTTTCCTATGGACGCTGGCGTGCTCTCACTGTGAAAATCACAGTGAGAAGCACGCAAGCGCCTCTAGTTCTCTGAAACTGCTATGTTTATTAAAAAAATGGGTTAACCCTAGCTGGACCTGGCATCCAGACCACTTCATTAAGCTGAAGTGGTCTGGGTGCCTAGAGTGGTCCTTTAAGGTGTGTTTGCCGTGCGGGTGCATACACTACATCCCCATAATCAATGACCGACATTAGCATTTGCTGCACTATCTGTTTCCTTACTGTAGGGCTTAGGCAGGATTTGTTTCTGTATAGGACACCCAGTTTTGGGTAAAGTTTTGAAGAGATTTTTTTCAATGTGAAGGCCAAAGGATAGATTGGGGTCTAACATACCTAGTTATTTAAAAGAGCAGACTGCTGTCAGTGTGCTATTTGAATTTGTTCTGATACATAGTTGTTGATTTTGTAGTTTATGTAATTTAGGAACAGTTCCACAGATCATTGTGACAGTTTTATCAGTCTTTCTATAAACTAATCTATTTAGCTTTGGCTAAATTACATTACTTGAGAAAAAAATGTTTAACACAAAACTAAATACTTTAAAAAAATATATAAGTCCCAAGCGGGCTTTATCCGTGGGTGGGCCGGTCGGAGATGCTTGGGAGGGTTCGGCTTCGTTCCCATTCCATTCCCATATTCCCCTTGGGGGGAGGAGAGTCGAGGACCCGGTTACGGGAGCGTGTGTCTGGAGGCCGGGGAGTTATGGAGGTGCGCTTACACCTTGATCCAAAGGGACCGATCACCTGGTCTCAGAGGAGACGTACCTGGATTGGTGACTATAGCAATGCTTAATTTAAGTTAATATGCCTGTGAAGCTACTCTCGTTAAATGTTAAAAGTCTTAACACCCCCCCAAAAAGATGCCTAATGTTTAGGGAACTCAAACGCATGAACCCGGGGGTTCCGGTTCCGGCTCTAGCCAAGATGGCCGCGTGAGGAGAGAGCTCCGCTCCACCAGTCCCCAATTGCACAAAATACGCACAGACCGGCAAGCTTAATGGGGCGCACTAAACGACCGGAGCACACCCAGACCCCTAAGAACTCACAACAGAGACCACTGGACGGTTTTTTACAGCCGCAAGCCGGATCGAGCGGAAGCTCCACCAGCCCCAAAATGGCGACGTCCCCCGCATCGGAACAGGAGATACCGGCGCTGAGCCGCATTGAAAGCTCCCTGCGTGATCTAACCGCCTCAGCAGTGACCAAATCTGATCTCCAGGCCATCACCACCGCAATCCAGGAAACCCTGCGCACCGAGATAGCGGGGATCCGTACAGAGCTCACTTCACAGGCGGGCCGCATTACCGCAGTGGAGGAGGCGAGCGAGGCCCTTACAGCCCGCGTGGCAGCCACTGATATGGCTGTGGCTCGCCAGGGCGAGATGCTACTATCTGTGCGCCGACACCTGGAGGACGTGGACAACAGGGGCAGACGATGCAACATACGCGTCCGCGGAGTGCCAGAGGCAGAGGGACCGGAGGACGCAGTGGCAATACTCACCGAACTCTTCTGCTCCCTCCTACAGCCATCCCCGCCAACGGAGATAGAATTTGAGAGGGCGCATAGGGCCCTGCGACCACGCACGGTAGAAGAAGGCCCGCGAGATTTCATCTGCTGCCTACACTCATTCCCGGTGAAGAATGCCATAATGCTGAAAGCCCGGGAGCGGCAGACCTGGCCCTTCCGAGGGGCTCATGTCTCCCTTTACAATGATTTCTCCCCCATGACATTGGAAGCCAGACGGGCCCTACGCCCGGTCACAACCATACTAAGAGACCATAACATATCCTACAAATGGGGATTCCCCTTTGCTTTACAAGCCAGACACCAAAACCGATGGCTCACCCTGAGATGGCCTGAAGAAGTACCGCGCTTTATGGGAGAATTGGGCCTTCCCTCACCGCCGGTCCCTGATTGGATACTGGGGTCATTAAACCCGCAACCAAGACTGCAGAGGGGACCTAGACAACGAGGTATGAGAGCACCCCCTGTTCAGCGCACAGGAGGCCGAGGGGACCCGACATCCCCAGAGGAATAAAGTCAGCCACCCAAGTATATCCGTAAGCCGTCACGCACCACCTCCGAGACAATCCGACCTTGCCAGCTCCCTCTATCACCTACCGCCACGACTAGCCAGGGCTGGCCTGACCCCTACTGTTGATGCCAGCTGCCCGCTACTGTTTCCCGGATCCCAAGTTGAGCAGGTTTGACGTATGACCCCACTCTCAGGTACTCTGGGTTAAAGTTTTGAGGCTTGGGAGGGGGGGAAATGGGCACGGAAACATGGGCGGGGGGCCTGATCACCCCTGAGACATGGGCAAGGAACTAACACCTACAGATGCCTGATAGTCCCCAACTGTTTTGCTCTGGACATATTACAAAATGACATGGCTTGGTCTTGCCTTAAGGCAGGGGGCCTGCAGGGGACGTGGATGGGGTGCACTCATGGCTCCACTGGAAACTGTTACTTAGCATTTGCCCTGGTCAAGGCCGCCTGAAGTCGGGCACCTCTTTATGGCTTAAACAAGCTCAGAAATCTTGACTTTCACTTGTGGAGGGGGACCAGGGGGGAGGGAGCGGAGGAAGTTACTATTAAGTGCCTTGATGTATATTGTTGTACCCAGACGATGACCTACACTGACCTCTCTTACGCCCAATCTCATATGCAGCTACACATAGGTCACTACAGACGGACACGCAAGGTCACCATATGTTTGAGAATCCGATTTACTCCCACCATGCCCCTAACCCCTTGCAAAGCTTGAATGGACGAGCACATGGCCGCTTGCCATACAAGGGGCTCCCGGACCAACATACACGCTTGCTGAATGGGCACACTAGGGGGTTGAACCACCACAAACAAATGCGCAACTTGTTATGACAATAGGTATGGGAGCCACTTAAGCAACTCTAAAATGGTCCCTGGGTATACGCACGGATTACTACACCGCTCAAACACTCTCTGTCACTACTGCCTAGGGACACACTGGACACACAGGATACCTCGGGACAACTGCGACGGATGGACATAGAGTATAGCTCCTTAGACTGTAGCATAAGGGGACTGACGGGAGGTACAGGAAAATGGACCACTGATGTGGACTCCATAACCGGTTTTATAATGTTTGATGTTAATAATTATAAGCCTTTATTGTGATTACGCTTTGTTTGCATGATGCTAATACCGGCTCAATTCTTAACTGGGGGGTCTGGTGGAGCGGAAAACCTCAAATCTGACCCATCGACTCTCGGATACCTTACTTGGCTGGGGCTCGAGCCGCGTTCTCTAACACACTTACTCGCGCTAGTAGGCTGGTGACCAGACGGCGGATCCCTAGATTCCTGGGCTGGCCCCGGATCTGGGCCCAACTGATACTGGTCACCGCGCGAGTCCCCCTCACACATTAGAGGGATATTACAACTAGGACCCTAACGGAATACGGGGGGTTACCTACACACGGGATATCCAACTTCGCTCACTCGCACGCGGCGCCTTTGGCTTGGCCCTCCCCGCCCCGGGCTCGGATCGCCCACTGCTGACATCTGCTGTTGCATTCCCCCCTCTTACCCTCTCCCTCCCTCCCTCCCTCCACACCCGCCCCATCCCCTCTTCTCTGTAACGCGTTGACCTGCCTGCGCACCGGGCCCGTGGTCCCTTCTGACTCTCAGGACAATTGGTGGCATCCCCGGACCTCCACCGTCACATATAGGGAGTATGGCTTACCAAAGCGCACCCCTGCGGTTCCTCACGCAGAACTGCAGAGGGCTCAACATCCCCGAACGACGGACGCACCTGCTGCGCGAACTGAGGAAAAAGCGCGTCATGATCGCTATGCTTCAAGAAACGCACTTTAAGGAGGGGTCAACCCCTAACTTACACAATAGGCATTTCCCTAATAATTACTTCTGCAACCACCCGACTGCGCATAAATCTGGAGTAGCTACATTATTGGCCGCGGAGTTGGACTTTAAAGAACTGGAACGTGTACAAGATTCACAGGGAAGGTATCTCTTCCTTAAAGGCACCATAGCTGACAAGATATACACGATAGCGAATATATATGTCCCCAATAAGAGGCAGGCCCCATTCATTCACAACACATTGCTCCAACTGGAAAACTTTACAGATGGGATTCTAGTGGTAGGAGGCGACTTTAATGCTCCATTCGACCCAACACTGGACTCCTCTACAGGCCATAGCTGCCTACCACAACACAGTATTAGATCCATCCGACAGTCGTTTGAAGCCCTGAGACTTGTGGACTGTTGGAGGGCCCTTCATCCCACGGAAAAAGATTTCACCTACTACTCAGCCCTCCACAACCGTTACTCACGTATAGACTATATCCTTATTGCACAAGAAGGCCTTTCCCACCTATGTAGTGCCAAAATTGAAACAGCTACTTGGTCGGACCATGGCTCGGTCGAGATGGAACTGAACTCACCTCTATACAGACCGAAGAACTGGACCTGGAGACTTAATCCAACTCTGCTACTCGACCTGGACACCAAGACACAGATCCAACAAGCCTTAGAACAATACTTCAGAGAAAAAACGACACCCCGGAGTCCTCCCCAATCACCATCTGGGAGGCCCACAAAAGTGTGATTCGGGGCACATTCATACGCATCGCTTCCCAGAAGCGTAAAGCTTTCATGCATGAGATGGCCGAATTATATAGAACTATCTCGAATCTGGAACGCCAACATAAACGCTCTCAGCTTAATGCGATATACGGGGAACTAATGGAACAAAGGAGGAAACTTACAAATCTTATTTTGAAAAGACATCTCCGCTCGGTACAACGCACGAAGGGCTTTTACTATGTACACGCCAATAAAGGGGGCAAGTATCTGGCGAGACTGCTCAAAGGCCCCCAACCTCATCGACAAATACATAAGATCCGTCTGACCTCGGGGGAGATCTCCCCGTTCCCACAGAAAATTGCGGAGGAGTTTCGGTCGTTTTACAAACGCTTATACAATCTCTATGAACCTATCGGAGCCGATGAAGACGCGAGAGTACACGCCAAGACACGGGATTACCTATCTGGTACGGTCACCAACACGATCAATCAGGACTCAGCCACACTATTAGACACTCCGATAACCGTGGAAGAATTAGCTGCAGCACTTAAGGCGTCCAAAACGGGTAAATCACCCGGTCCGGATGGTTATTCCACGGGGTACTATAAAAATTTCGCTGGAATATTGTTACCCTGGCTCACCAAAGCACTTAATGCCGTCGGCGAGGGTGGGTCTCTGGGGAAAGAGTCCCTAGCAGCCACCATCACGGTCTTACTTAAGCCCGGGAAGGACCCACTGCAATGTAGTAGTTACAGACCGATCTCATTACTGAACGTTGATGCCAAATTGTTCACGAAGGTCCTAGCGACTCGACTCAAACATCTACTCCCAGATCTCATACACGCGGATCAGACGGGCTTCATTCCGGGTAGGGAGGCTCGAGATAGCACGTTGAGACTCTTTTCCATACAGCACCACGCGAGAAAATCAGGGACACGGTTGCTCCTGTTGTCAACAGATGCTGAAAAAGCATTTGACCGTGTCAATTGGAAATATATGTTGGAAACTCTGCGATGGCAAGGATGTGGTCAGAGACTCCTTACGTGGATATCTGCAATATACAGTAGACCACGTGCATCTGTGAGGGTTAACGGGGCTACGACCGCGGATTTCGCAATCAACAACGGAACCCGCCAGGGCTGTCCGCTCTCACCCCTATTTTTCGCACTATCCCTGGAGCCCCTACTTCAGGCAACTCGCCAAAACCCAGACATACAGGGATACGAATGGAAGGGGGTGAATCACAAAGTAGCAGCATATGCTGATGATCTCCTTTTCTTTGTAAGCAACCCCAGGATCACACTGCCGTGCCTCCTCGCGGAATTGGATAGATACGGACAGATATCCGGATTCAAGCTTAACGTTTTGAAATGCGAGGTCCTGAATATAACGCTCCCCACGGAGGAATTCCGGTCTTTGGAATCAGAGTTCGCATTTCATTGGTGTCACCATAGAATGAAATATTTGGGAGTCTGGGTATCCGAGGACCCGAGCAATATATACCAACACAACTTCGCACCCTTATTAAAAGCTGTACTCACGGACCTAACCAGATGGAACCATCCGCACATAACATGGCACGGAAGGGTTGCGGTAATTAAAATGAACATTCTCCCGAGGATCCTGTACCTTATGCAAACTATACCTCTCGCTCTGCCATCGGCTTTCTTTTCCACCCTGAAAACAGCAGTGCTCAAGTTTATTTGGAGGGGAGGACGCTCCAGGATCCGACATGACATATTGTGCCGACCTAGAATTCACGGAGGTCTGGCAGTACCCGACTTTAAGAAGTACTACCAAGCTGCAAGCATGCAACGTATACTAGACTGGCACACAACACCTTCAACTAAACAATGGGTAGAGCTCGATAGAGGTCTAATTGGACCATCGCTGGAGGCGCAGGTTTGGGGTCACTCGAGGCGACCACCAACTCATCTTACCAAGGAAGGATTGACACTACAGACCCTGATAAGCTGGATATCTGTAAGACGACAGGACCACATCTCTCCCTCCCCCAGCCCGATGATACCAATTACACATAATGAAGCGATAGGGGGGGGACTCCCCTCGGGAGCCTGGCCTTTGCAAGAGGATGGCACATATATACCTATACACAAGGCTCTTGAGGGCGGAAGGCTACGGACTCTTCCCTCGATGCTAGGAGACAGCCCTCAGACGCATCTCTTCCGATTCAGATATTTCCAATTGAAACACTTCTACGAAACACTACCACACAAGGATAAACTACATAGAGATCTCACGTGGTTTGAGACCCTCTGTGATCGTGGCACAGCTATAGAACACGCTATTTCTGCACTGTATCAACACCTCTTGACCGGTCAATCGACAGCGGCCACAACGTTCAAACGGCAATGGGAAGAACAACTTGGACAATCCCTCTCGACACAGCAATGGGATACGGCGTTGCTCTGGCAGCATAAAAGCTCAATGAGCTCTTACTATCAAGAAATGAACTATAAACTAATTTCTCTCTGGTATAGGACACCTACCTTATTACATCGTATATTTCCCTCAATATCACCGATGTGTTGGAGGTGTCAGGAGACACGTGGAACGGTACTACACATCTGGTGGGAATGCGGAGCCATAACCCCATACTGGGAAATGATCAAGGAAACAATCGTACTCATCCTGGGGGACCTTCCGGACTGGAACGCAGAACTGGCATTACTACACATCACACCATTATCCATATCTTTGTA